TTATAGCCTTCAGTTTGTTCAGTAACCTTCTGTGAGGCTTTTTACATATCCAAGAACAGGATTACAACACTACGTTGTCTATGTCAGCCGTTGTATGGTTTAAAAAGTCTGTCTGGCATGTTGCGCAGGATCGACCTTGCATGAAGCCGTGTTGTGAATTGTTGATGATGTTAGCCTTGTTCAAGAATACAGATAGTTCATCTGTCACTATCCTTTCCATTATTCTAGGTACGATGGGTGTGTGATTGATGGGACGAAAGTTTTTAACCTCTTGGGCGGCGCCATTTTTGTGTGGCGGGATAACGACAGACGTTTTCCATTGAGTACGGTATACTCCTTTGTTAAAAGGGAGTGTAAAGATGTTGAGCAAAAACAGAAGAAAGTCACTACTGCTGCTTTTTATTACACAAGAGGTTATCCCATCAGGACCTGCGCAAGTTGAGGAGCATAGGCGAGAGAATTGACCAATGATTTTTGCTACAGTGAATTTCACTGTGCATAGACTTACCTTGCTGTGCGGCATAATAAATGCTGATGTGTCTGACGATTCATTGATCATTGATTCGGCAAAATAAACACTGAAAGCTTCACAAAAATCACATGGTGCTCGGGACCATGTTCCATAAGGTGTGGCGATAAAGTTGCAATTGTTGCTGCGACGCGAACCCTGGCACGGAATAGTTTGGATAGCTCAGCTGTTTTGCTAGGGCCGTTCAGAACTTTATACCCTTCTAGAATGAGAGTTTTGTCACGTTGATGCCTCTGTTCTTCGACGACCTTGGACTGCTCTAATAATAGCGCAAAGTCAGAAGTTAACCTGAATTTCTGCCAAATCTTATGGAGCTTTAGTGCTGCCTTCAAAAATTGCGATCGGATTTATGTTTAGTTTGGTAAGCACATCTTAGTCATACTGCTGAATCGATACAGAATCCAGTTGTACTATAATACAGGTCCGTCGCTTGTTGAGGACATGCAGAGAGAAGGGTTATCCAAATTCATCGAACGAACCAGGTCCATGGAAGAGTTCCATTTGACCAAACTGAACAGACGATAATGCATTGTGTTCTGTACATCGGCGATGTATAGTCTTAGGCGGCATTTGCTCACGCAATGATCGCTCCCTGGAAATTCATCAAGAACGTTAACACTGATTGCAGGTATGCCCAATGAAAAAATGAGATCTAAAGTATTCACCTCTGGTAGGTTTGTAGATGTGTTGCTGCCAGCCGTTCATTTGGATACAGGAGATAAGATTTTGGTATTTCAAAGGAGCGGTTCCCATGGGCCATGAAATCGAAGGCAGATTGAAATCACCTCCACTATTCTTATGCATAAATGGTAGGCTAGCGACGCGTTCAAATGCCAGCGTCAAAAATCCCAGGTCTTCTTGGCTACAGTTTGGCGCGCTGTATATACATCCCATGAGCAGCAGCTGCTGATTAACAGATATCCTGAGCCATAGTGATTCCTGCACATGGTTCAGTACAGGGTTCTTTTATGTTGCTGCTGCGAGCGAATTTTTCAGATAAATTCCACAATCACCACATCGACGACTAGGCCTACTTCTCATAAACTTGTCATATCCGAAAATAGTTAACTGATTGTCAGACATGTCATCATGGCACCAAGATTCAATTATAAATATTATATCAGGGTTATTCACCAAAACAAATAAGCGTAGTGTGTGGATCTTAGTGAAGCGAACGAATGTTTATCAAAAATACTGAGATAGATGTGAAATATGAGTAAGATTGTTTAGGTTTTGTTATAAACACTGGGGTTTCATGCTGTGTACCTGGACCCAGGCTAGAAATTGTTGAAAAAGTGCGTGTATTGGCAACGGTGGAAAATGAGTTGGAGGTGGCCACAGCGGAGGGGGTTGTGACTGAGTATGGCCCTCTAGAAAACGGTTCGAGGAAGAGTCCATAATTGTTGTAATAGCTTGTGGGAGCTGGAGAGCTAAGTTTTGTCCTCTGCATCATGTCACTAATAGGCTGTTGCTTACGTAGCGTATTGATAAGAGTCCGTGGGTAGGTGATATTTCCATTCATGGATGAAATCTGCTTACTTGCGCTCGATATACAAGGCTTCACTATGCGCGGTGGAGGCACATTCGTGTCAATCCATACATCATCAGCATAATTCGTGTGGTTCGTTGATGGAATCGGAAAGTCATGATACCCAATTACACCGTTTGTAAGGTGCAAAGATGATGGCATGTCTTCCATAACTTTATGACCAATGAGTGTACGTCTATCCAAACAAAATGACGATACAGTCGCCCAATGACACGATAGATCTAGGTCACCCGTCCTTTTACTATCGATCAGTTTGACCGGATCTATCAATATTCTCGATGAGCTTGGACACTGGTCTGAGCAGACTTTAGGTGGGGCATGACAGTTCGAGGCTTGAGGTAGCGGTTTCATATGCAACTGGAATTTAGCAGGTAATTCAGTGCTTATTCGCTGATCCGCATTGTTATCACTTCTTGCAGGAAACAGCATTAGGAAACCCTCTACGACTACCAGAATTGATTATCCAAGAGCAAGCACCATCTATATCACTCGTTTTGGGCTTGGTCGGCTTATCAAGCTTAGTCGTGAAACTGCGGCCTGATGAAGGTCCTCCAGTAATCAGTTTTGTATCTGACGTTGATCTTAACTCCGAAGTGCGAGAATTAGGTGTTCTACCGGATACGCCATCTAATGTAATAAAGCGGCCCGCATATTCATTTAATTCCTTGTTAATTTCAAAAATCACTTTATTATTCATCGCTTTGCCCCTATTTGCAGCAAGCGGAGTATTATTCTCGAATTTGTGGTGGCCACTGAGTGGAGCAATATCAACTGGATGCGGAGCGCCAGTTGACTGTTTGATATTCTGGTTTATCTGACTTTCACCTCCTTATCACTCGTTGTAGCGGGGTTTTGTCCTCCATAATATTCAGACATTTGAAAGTCGTATTAAGCACAATGACATTGCGCTTTTGAATGAATTGTTTAGCAATAAGTTGACTTTGAAACTGGAAAAGTACGGGACATGCTTAACGCATTGCATTTTTGCAGCTGGACCAACGAGATTACATACCACATGCAGTGAGAAGCACTTTCTGAACAGCTTTTATAATAAATTGTCTGGGACTTTAAAACCACCGCATTGCATGAACCGCGTACTCGATTGTATACTTCGGTTGAAATGGAGTCTATCAATACACTGCACTTCGTGAGGTTCATTTTATCAATATTTGAGGGCGATTCAAATAAAGCAGCTAGACTCTATAAAGATTGCAATATCGATGTGAGCATGTCGACTTCTAATACACGTTCAGCGTATGCAGGTTCAGCTACGGATGGACATTTTTCAGGTGTCTTTCTCAGGTCAGCATGTAGTCCAAGGGAATTTCCCACAGCGCCTACACTGCTTTGGGTATTTTCTTCACCACTGATCCAGCCGTTGTGCTTAGTTCCTTAGTTCGTTGTCTCATCTTTTGAACTGAAATGGAAGAATCCTGGCCCATAATACTTTTTTCTCATCGAGCTTGTCCTTACTGTAGATATGATAGTGAAACCGAAGTAAGATACACTGAAGCAAAATCAAAGGAGTTAGACAATGGGTGCTAATATGATGGCAACTCTCGGAAACTGGGCGATTGAGTTAGGAACAAAAGGAACGCACCGCAGTGAACTATTTGTATCTCTGCCTTCGAGTTGCACATGCCGTTAGTTTGGAAACGCGAGCTCCACCAATTCCAAACGTGTGATCTCACCGTTCCAACGACACACCGGTTAGCAGTCGGGCGTTTCTTGATTTTCCTCGTGACAGGTCACAATCGGTTGCTGGTGTATTCAGATGGGCCTCGGAACGAAACCCCAGACTGTCGATCTGGTCAGAGTGCCTCTTGGTGTGGCACTAGTGGTGTGTGATCGGTGGATTGAATTTAGGTGGCAGCCTCAGTGACTGCGACACATTCTAAATATTCTGCCTGCACTTACCTCTTCACGTATTTGAATCCTGCTATCTTCTTCTTACCGAGTGCGTTAGCACCTTACTCAGGAAATTTTGCTCAGGTGTATTTGGTTGTCGATCTCTACCTCAGTTCTCGGTCAAGTAAACCCAGCTTCGAACGTTCATCAGCTTACCCCAAAGATAATTCTCCTCCCCGTCACCAGTATCGCATTAGTGTCTTCGAATCGCACCACCCGATTAAAGTTCTCTGCCCCGCGACACTGTTTGTAAAGCGGATAGTGAGAACCTCACGGACGTTATGACACCCATATGGCACCTAGCTGTCTATGATCGGCTGTTGTTTACAAGGTGTAGACGCCTTGTCCCCCAATGTTTGCTTACGACACTTAGATTGAATTAAGATCCCTATTCTTCTGCTTACTCTTATTGCCTAGATATCCATGACTGTGTATAGCATAGAAACCACACTTAAAATTCCTGTGTACTGTTATTATTATTCTTGTTATTCTTATTATATTCATTACTGATGATATTATCCGTCGCTGTCGATGCAGTCGTCACACAACGAACGTATGTCCCTGAGTCCGCTTTCTGGTTCTGCTTTAGCCTGCATTGATAAGCTCTTATGTTGGCCCCCCTTTTTTATTCACGCTCCTTTGTATGACTTCTTCATTCCATATGCATCCAGTTGAAACTTCTGTCTTTCTTGAGTTGTAGCTCCTCCTAAACATCGGCTGATCCGTTGTGTTTGTCCAAGGATTGCATGCCTCACTGCTCTTTTAAACAGCTCTTCCTCCTTTTCTTCCACGATGTTCTCATTCACCCGATTTCTGTTCCCTTTATTATATAAGAACTTGAAGATCTAGTCCCGATTATAGTCTAGTGCCTCTCCTGCATTCTACACGTCGAGGTACTTTATGTAGTTCTCATTCAGCTTAAATCGTTATAGATAGGTGAACAATTTTCGTCGGTTTTTGCGTTTTACTAATTTTTTGTTTGTAACCGGGCTCCAACTTCTATTCTTCTCGTAGTTGGGCATACCCCCAATGCCCAATGCCAGCCTGCTACCCTCAGCTGGGCTATTGTCACTTCCGGAACCCGCCCCTTTCGGTCGGTTTCCTTATCAACAACAAGAAGCTGGCATCCCCCCGACTCCGCCCATGTCTCAACAGCTCAGTTCTGCAGTGGAAAATCGTTACATCCACACGAAACATGCGAGTATTGTGCCAACAGAAATAGAAGCCAAGGTTGGTTTTTCCGATCGATTGTATTGCAGTTGAAGAGAGATTGACTTTCCTTTTACCTTGCCTTCATTAACTCGCGTTTAAGCCGTTACCACGCACTCGCCGTGATTCCACCCTCAGTTTATCTTGTTTATTCTTCACTCGCAGGCCATGAAAACGATTGTTAGCCTCTGTGAGATCTCTTTGCGAACCATCAGCGATGATTTGATGAAAGGAGTAATAGAGGCACGCCGCACTTCAAATGTCGGGGATAGTGGGGCCAAGACCTCGAACCAAGGCCAATCGAAGGAAGCAAATCGAGGGATCGCGGACTTGCAAGAATTGGAGGGTGATCGTCTGCTGCGTGGAGTTGTTCGTGTTGGACCGCTAGGAAAGAGTCTGTTGCTTCGAGGAGATCATCAGGGTGACTTGGTTCTCGACTGTTTGGAATGGCCAACCACCGAGGTGGTGCAGTTTATTCAAACCGAACTTTCAAAAACTTTACCGGTAAGTTCTCTTTACTCCGCAAGCCTTAAATGTTCTTCGCATAAATAACATTTATCCATGGTCTCCCGTTACTCACAATAATAGATACACCTACCTTAACCCCACTCTGCAGCTGTGGCTAAATTTACTGCTGCATCTAATTTCCACAATCCATATGCGGTCATAATTCAGGCTATCGTCAACCTCTCGTTTATCATTATCATTCACGTGTCATTCGGCACGTCTCTCTTGTGTCAGTCCACGAAGTTGCTTATTCATAATATGGTCGTAGCGGATGAAGAAACCCGAACTACACAGTCGCAACTGTGCATACCGTCTTTCTAGGGTGAGATCTCAATACGAGGCACGTTATTTTATTGCACTCTTGTCGGTAGTTGCGCATTCGACGAAATCGCATTTGTGCCATTACTACCTGCTTTCTGCTCCTCACTATTGACTTTTCTACTTAAGAAATCTGGTGTTTTTTCTGATGCCTCTTTCTGCTCTCGTTTTCCTCGCCTTTTGTTGCTAACTTTTGCATCTTTTTCACTCAAAACAATACGACTGCAGCAGCTGTGTTTTGGTTCGCCGGCTTGTGGCTGCTCTACGTTTATCCCTTTTGCTACTTGCCCATGGGTACTTCATCTGTCATCGCTCATTCACCTGGTTTCCTGTTTATCATCCAATTCTTCTGCTCCTCAGAGCTTTGCTGTTATTTTCGTGTGTCCCAGTCTCTTATCTGTATGTTATCTCCCCTTTCACTTTTGTCTTGCCCTGTCAGACGAAGGACTCGAACTTTTGGTACACAATCTCTTCGTGTCTCGACACAGGTAAGGTCACCGTAGTGGCAACCAGGAAGCTCGAGAGCTCGAGGGGAACTACTGAACCGACTCCCAGAGACGCATGGCCAGTGATCACCATACATATTCACCTCACTTCCGGTGTGGTTCGTCGTCCACTGTATGGTAAATTAACTTTCATTTCTCATATTAGCTTCTGTCGGTTCGCTTTCACCATGCTGTCTCACACAGGGTATGTGGTCTTAGCCTAACAACCGGACGAATGCTTCATATTATCCATCGTTTCCCACTCGTATGACATGAGCTCTTTTGTATGGTTCACTGCATCGGTTCAGTAGATATTGTTACTACGCTCGTTTGTCCGCTGTTATAGGGTCATAATTCTGTTCTTTCCGCCCGGCTTTGCGCCTCAGACATATATATATATATATATATATATATATATATATATATATATATATCCGCGCCGGCATCCGGTTTCGGAGTTGCCTGTCACTGTGGCCAGCCTCAGAACTCCTGCGCTTATTGGGGGACCATCCACACACCCCATATCCAGTGTAAACCCGAAGGAATAAGACCGGGAGGCATGTGGATGGGCGCCACGTTTCATCAACGGAGCCGGCCCACACTCCTTCACAAGCAAACACAAGCACACTGTATTCGGGAATCGATCACACACAAGGCGGTGTCTGGACCGGAGTATGCTCCACAGTGAGTGCATGGAACCACTTCGAGCCTAGCACGACCACAAGGACCGTGCACCCCACCCCCTCCAACGACGACCAACTGTCTCCTGGAGCCAGTATGGAAGAGGTGGTGGGTACTAGACAGGTAGGCGCCTTGTCAACATGCACATCAAGCGCAGCCACACCGTGGATATCAAGCAACAGCCAATCACTTGGAATAACGATATCAAATAAAATCAATCGGATAAAGCATACGGATATACCGACTTAACTCTTCATTAAATTAGCATATGGAATAAACTTGTTATCAACTTTTTCTCGATAGACTCAAGATGGCAGAAAAGGAGATCAAACGTGAATTTTAATTACCGAAATTAACCACGTTTCATTTAAGCTGTGTGTAAGTAGATTGAAGATTATTCAGATAGACATTCATATGAGGTAACAAAGGGAGTATTAACAGTATATAGCAAACCGACCACTTGAAATAAAGCAACTCAGCACGCAGTTAGTAAATCGAATGCAACATACCTGCTAACGATGCGCCAGTTCTGGTTGCTCTCAGCAGGACTCTTCGTTTTTTCGGAGTTGGTTCTGAGTGGCCTCGCTCATGGCCCACTATACCTGCCTGACTCAGACATTCGCGACCGCATGTGCTACAACACCATGCGATCGACCTCGATAGAGTACAGCCCATCGGCGCCTGTCGCTTCCGCACTTGCCGTTCTTCTCCGCATACACGAGGGCTTTCTCTTGCACCTCAGCAACTGCCTTCGTGATCAGATCGCGCCATGCACGCCGATCAGTCGCCTTCGATTCCAAACATTTGAAATCGACATTAGAACGTGATAGGCTCACTTTGATCATGTCCTGGTAACGAAGCTTTAGTTTCCTTACTCATCTAATGCTATAATAGCTGCTTCGGTATCCGTGTCGAATTCATGCGCCTCACATGATTTAGCCACCTCAAGTGTCTCAGCAAAATTATGCATTCCGCTGCATACATTCAACTTTGGCGCAACACATCCGTGTCTGCAACTCCGACGCACCAACCGATACGCAGAATCCGTCGCAGACACTGTTGATGAAACCGCTCGAGATATCTCACGTCTCGTCGGTACCATGGATTTGAACACCATCAGCTTCGTGCCGACGGTAAGCTGGTGGTTATTCCGCACGGTACTTAAACGTTCCGAATGCCGCTGCTGCCTTCGATACGAGGATACGAAGCTCACTGTGTAGCTGCTGGTTAGTCGACAGCACATTCCCAAGGTAACAGCAGCGGTAGGTGGTTTCCAGTACTTCGTCACCGGTACTGAGTTGCGGCAACATTGCAGCTTGCACTTCCGGTGAAGGCTTGGAGAGAGAGACAGTTTCCTTGTGTTGATAGGGAGCCCGAATTTGCCCGCTGTCGAAGCCAGAGCACTAGTCGTGTGCTGCAACTCATTCGCTGTGTGCAAACAACGCACAGTCGTCAGCGAACAGCAACCTACGGATAATCGTCTCACAGACAAGGGTTCTTGCATCGAAACGATGGATGTTCAGCAATCCATCATCAATACCGTGCTCCACACAAACACCGTAGGCACAAACAACATCAAACGCACAAGACATCATGGCATGAAGATGAATATTAAACAGGATAGCAGCAGCCCTGCTTCACACCAGAGACAACTGCAAAGTCATCCGAGGTCTCTCCACCCAGCTACACTCTCGCCCGCATACCGCTGTCCAGACGTTCAATTAAACTTGCAAACTTACGCGGGCAACCAAACTTACTCAACACCAGTCACAATGCCCCGTGGTTCACCGTATCAAATGTCTTGGTGAAATCAACAAAAGCGAGTACAACAGTTGGTGTCGTTCTCTGCACTTCTCGTGCAACTGAGGAGCCGCAAATACCATATATATGGTGTTGCGACCCGGACGGAATCTACACTGCTCTTCCGCCACGTTAGGTTCCACAACCTGAGTGACGAGGCGGTTGAGCAGCATTCGGGCAATCGCCTTGCCCACACAACTCTGCAAGTTGATGTCACGATAATTCGTGCAACATTGCTTGATACCTTTGCCCTTGTACAGTGGTAGCACAAGGGCATCCTTCAACTCAGGAGGCACCTCCTCCTCAATCCATACGCGTTGCACCAAGTGGTGCAGCGCATTCACCAGGGCGGGTCCGCCTTGTTTTAATACTTCAAGTAGGATTTCCTCGGTGCCGTATATACTTATATATATAATTACAAACTGCGGGGCGGAGAAGCGAGAACATGCTACTGCTAGCACCTTCCTTCTTTCTTTTACTCCTGTTTCTCCTACTTCCCTACTGATCCTTATTACTAACGTTTATTCGTTACTCACTTCTAAATTGACCAGATGCCATGCCACTGCAGTTCTACTGTCCGCAAATGTCTTCCCGCACCATCTGCTGGACGCCTATCGGCTACAGCCCCTTATAAGACGATTCTGTGTCGTTTCCTTTGCGGCGTGTAGTGTTTGCACTCTTATACAAGTAGCTCAACAGGCTGTACTCGCACGCACGTGTATTGCGTGTCCGAAACTAGGATGAACGACCCTCACGGGGCTTTCGAACTAAGTGCGCCCGGTTTTTTTCTAGTTGTTGGTTACACGCATCCGGAGATGATGATGCTGTAACCACTGGTCGAGCTGAGGTGGACATCATTCTCACTTCCAAGGCTGAGTCATCGTTTGTTGTTTGGTTTCCCTGAGCAGCCATTTGTCTGCAGTCCGTTTGACGACGTCAACTAAGGTTCATTCATGAAGCATTACTAGACGCTGTTTGTTTCTGGTTGCTTATGCTCCCACTGACTGCAGTTCTGATGCTACCAAGTGAAACCTCCTACCACGAACTGCGCGCACTGCCTCACAGTGTTGCGGATCAAGATATCATGGTTGTTGAATGGGCAAATGGCTCATCTAAATGACAAGTATAGATTTTGACTACATGGACGACGACGAGCGTCTTTTACAGCTGTGTGCGGGACGCCGGTTGTTCCTTAGTAGCACCACTTTTAGATACATTGGACGTCGAATGACACTTGTCGTCCTTTTACAGGTGGCCGGCTTTGCGCCCACATAGATCACGTTGCAGGTGGTGTGATTTCATTATGGATTTCCACTCGTTCCGGAATACCTGCGTCGACTTTGGTCATGCCTTCGTACGCTGTCTTTTTCCCATGAACTTTACTGGAAGGTGCACCAGGCCTCTCCCTCGCTTGGTAGCTGAGAAGTTATCTCATTCCCCAGTCAGGCAACTTTACCAGGATGTCTTGCGTACCGAACTAACACTCTTTCATCCAGACGACACTGAGCTTCAGTGGAACAGGATCTCGGCCGCCATTCACGACTCCTTAGCCTCTGCTTGCGACACTATAATCCATCACCGTACCAATCACTGAATATCCAACAGGTCGCGTAATCTTTTGGACACAATGTAACCAGACAGATTATTAAGCGCGAACTAAAGCGGAGCTTGTGTGCTGATAAGTCGGGTTCAAGAAGCGGAGGGCACAGAAGCTGTAGGCAACCATCATCTGATCCTCGCCACTGGTCCCAGGAAACCGTGCGTCAGCAAGAAAATCAGCGACACTGCTGGTTGACTAATTCACAATAAGCAGTGTCAGCTGTCTGGTGGAGCAAAACATTTTCGAAAGCTGTTCAGTGAGCCCTTGCTTACAAACCCCTTCTCACACAGGTGTTACAGACTGAGTCATGGTCGGTTAGTTTAGATGCTCTGAAACGCTGTCACAGTTTTGAATCGTTTTCTACTTACTGCTCTGGGTTTACTTGAATCCGCGCTATTTAAGGATAGTGGTGAGGGTAATATATTTATAGTGATACACAACGTTTCGCATTTGACACGAGAGCTTCATCAGGCGAAGTGAATTAGCTTAACATTGGCATTTTATAACGATCATGGTTAAGCTACATACAGAGGCTAATCAATTTGCGGTTCATCGATGAAAAATTACAACAGTCAAAGGTCACTACGCTCGTGTGTACACTGTGGTTTGTTTCAGTCAGGGTCAAATGGGGAAAAGGAATTGCTGGTCCGAGGATAGTTACATGTGTGGTCAGCAATCTTAAGTGGTCCGTTGCAAGGAACTTGGTCACTGATATAACTTGGATTTAGTGCTTCAGAATTTGGTATAGCGAAGGTCAATAGTCCATTCCGATTTGGGATCTATCCACCGATGCTCATCAACCTGGCCGGAGTAAGAATGGACATCAGGCACTAGACAGTGCTACTCCGTCTATTCTATTCACGCAGTTGTCAGCATTGGTGATTTCTATAGCCTCAGTAATCAGCCTTTGTTTGCCTGATAGTAATCCCTTTCTGATAACGACATTTCGAAGTTAATTTCGTGCCCGTGTCTAGCGCATGCATTGCTATTGCCGAGTCTCTGAGTAGAGCCCCATACTCTAGCTAATTTCGCGGAGGTCGTGATATGTGTCGCTATG